ACTGCATCATACCTCTATGAATGTAAAATATCTTGTACCTGCCTTATGATACATAGTGGTGACCATGCTTTATCAGAGCTGTTTTTAATGATGTTACTCTAGAATGTTTTCTTTCCAGATGATGATTAAGAAGCTAATAAAAAAAAATGGTGCCAGGTACCACAACAGTAACAGAACTTGGCTATTTTTTGTTTCCCTTCTTTAATCATTTAAATATGCTTTCTTTTTACTTCACATATTACTCTAGTATTCAAAGTTCCTGAGGACAAATTCTCCTTCCTTTTTGGATTACTCCTCAATGAATGTTTTATAAATTTTATTTTTACATCATTGTCTACAAAATATTATCTATATGTGTAAGTTTCCTGTATTGCAGATATATTGTGTTTTCAGTGTGCTTTGACAGACTCTTTATAGAACTGGGCATCTCAGAGTCTTTACTAACATTTAAAAACTATTTGAGGTTGAGGATACAGTTCAGTGATAAAGTGCTTGCCTAGCTTGTAGGAGGCCCAGGTTTGATCCCCAGAGCCAAGCTGGTTGAAAGGGAAGCAAATGATAAGACAGTGAGACATTTTATTGTCCTACTTCACACTACTTCACACTACTTCCTTTTGCCAAGTAAGTCATAATTGATTAGAAATAATAACAATTACAATTTATCAAGCACTTCTGCTTCTGTTATTAGTTGGTGCTATCTGTAAATGTATTGTTTTAAAAATACTTTATTGCCCATCTTGAAAGTCAGTAATTTAGATTTATAGCTTGAAAGCACATGTGATTAATGCAAAAAGAGTTAATCTTATAGAAAAATTGAATTTTTAAAAAATATACAAATGCAACATCAAGGTTAATGTTTATTTCAAGATGCAAACTACAGTATTTTTTTTAAATGTGCCTCAGACAACAGTTAGATATGTATGCAAATTTTATAATTGCAATTTTGACTTTTAGGAATATTTGAAATAAAGAATCTCTTATCTATCAAATAGAATTTAAGTTCAAACAAGCAGAGATTATGATTTTATTCTCTTTTTTAAATTCACATACTTGAGAAGTACTTGGCATATTGATAGGCATTAAGCAAATATTTGTTCAATGAATAAATAAATGAGTGGACAAAATACATGAATGTACTATGCCTTTTGTTTTGAAAATGACAAAACATATTTTGAACTAATCATTAATCCCAGAAAACTTAAACATAATTGATTGTGACATTTATTACATACATCCCTGTGGAAAATTTTCCTTCAATTTACCTAAAGTTTTGATTATCATCCTCTGAGTAACGCAGGCTAGTTTTTCAGGGTAGACTTACATACTTAAGCCTTTTATCCAGAATATTTTTACTTTGTCTTTTCTGGATAATCTTCCTATTTAATCAATCTTAATGCCATTCATTGATTCTTTTTCTTTTTTTCTTTTTTTTTTTTTTGTACTGGGGATCAAACTCAGGACCTTGTGCTTGCAAGGCAGGCAAGGCACCACTGAGGTGTATCCCCAGGCCCTATTAATTGATTCTAACATAAACATATCATGAAGTACTACAGATGCACTTATTTATTTATTTATTTATGTAGTTATGTATTTATTTGGTACTAGAGATTGAACTCGGGACCTTGCGCTTGCGAGGCAGGCGGTGGAACCACTGAGCTAAATCCCCGGCCCCCACTTTTTTATTTTGATTGAAAATTAATGAATAAATTTCTGTAGTTGCTCTTCAAAAAATCTTAATAGTGCTTTTAACAGATATGGAATTTGTCCATTCTTACATTTTTTATAGAGTTAAGTGACTAATATAATTATCCTATCATATTATTTAAAAAATAAATACCACTGAAGGTTTTTTAAATGTAATTTGCAAAATACACTAAAATACTGGGCATATGTTTCAATTAGTTTAAATCAGTTTGAATAAATTTAGTTGTTATTTTTATTTCAGATGCAAATATGCTCTGAAAATTTGCTAGTTGGTCAAGGAAATGCTATTAACAAATTTTCCACCTATATAGCCAATATAGATAGGCAGAAAAGGGTAAGGTCAGGAGGACTGGTGAAGCCATTTGCTTCTCTTCATATAGAAGTTACACAGAATAATACACATAATTTCACTATTTTCTCATACACTTCTACTCTGGCAGCAAAGCAGGACAAGAATCACTGCCAGAAGCTTCAGTCTGTAATACCTAAACTGTGTGTTGGTTTCTCATATCTTTTCAACTCTTTTTTAATTCCAAATATATTTTCACTTGCAAGTCCTTTATTGTTAGAAGGTGATATTTACTTTGTTCATTCTTTATTTAAAATATTGAAAAAGAGTGAGATTTTATATCATGAGATATGCTCAGAGTTCTATTAAGGGAAGATGCCATGGTTGAACTAGAGTCATATGATCAGCATGGGTCAGACTCAATAAACAGGAAATAAGTGAAAGATGTTTGAGTTGAAGGATAGATAGTGAGAATAGTAGATGTCAAAAAAACTTTTGGAGACTAACTGTGCTATTTCATAATGTATCTGAGCCAACCTTCCAATCACTTGTTGCCTGAGCTAATGATGTTTCTAAATTCTGCAACAATAACACTGAAAGCCCAAAAGCTAAATATACATTGGCAACCACTTACTCTGCATTGAAGCATAAAAATCTTCAATTCATTTACAAACATAAAAAAATTTGTGTTTGTATTACATGTATGTTTTGTCAAATAAAAAAATAATTATCACAACTTAAATAGTAAATTTTGTTGATATTTTTTGTTATCTTCTTTTCATGCTAGATTTAACAAGTGATATTAAATGTTTCCCAAGAAAACCATGTCTCATTCCTATTATAACCAAATGAAAGTTTCCCTTCTGTGTGATTCTGGGAATCAAGCATGGGGCTTCAAGCATGAAATGACTGCTTTATCATTGAGCTCCACCCTTGGTCCCCTCAAATTTTGATAATCACTTTAAGTAAAGGTTATTTTAATGCCACATACCATTATTGTCCTACTAAATCACAATGAGGATGTAATTTAATGTTTCTTTTGTTAAAAAATAACTTTGAAAAATAAAATTATTAAATGCTTTTAGTTATTTTATATATGATTAAAAAACTTGATACTTGATAATAGAAACCAAGGGTCAAAAATACTTAAAAACAAAACAACAAAATTTAAATCTGACACCATGAAATATTAAATTAGTCCTAGATAACTAGTCAGCTGATAAAGGTGTGTATGGAATATTCAGGGACTTTGGAAATAAAAGCATTATTTCTCATTCATTTCTTGAAAAAATTTGTTTTGTGTAATTATGTCAGGCCATGATCTCTTTAATAAACTAGATTTATTTTTGAAAATAACTTTAAAATAATTTAATAAAATCTTACGTGAGAACATTTTTTTTTCTGTACATTATAAGTGCTGTATGGAAGTTAGGACTGGGAAAATAGAAATCAAGACCAATATACTGATTAGGGGTTTAAAATAATTTACAAAATTAATTTAATAAAATGGCTAGAACAATAACTAACAATTATTAACAAAACAACAATGAAGCTGTCTGTATTTTCATTCAACAACACATTTAAGGCAAATATTGAATTAATATAAAAATAATATGCAATAAACTAATACCTTACGCAAGATACAATAAAATTAATGTCCACATTGAAGATCAAAAATTATGACAATATGCCTTCTTAAAACCTACAATTTTCTGGTTGTCAGAAAAAAAATTCTGTCTGCATTGAGCACAGCTTACTGTGGCCTAATAAGATGTCAATTGGAATAGTTGGACTATTTCTCAGAATAGAACACTACATTTTTCCTACCATGCCAGGTAAAATAATTTAATATATTTATTATAACAAAAGGCTCATAAGAACTACAAACTATACTTTGTGTGATTTTTAAAAAAATTTTTAGTGCTAACTCTGATTCTTAAAGATATCTACAATTGACTTTCTAATTCTCATGCTGTTCCTAAAAGGAATCATATATTTATCCTGAAAGTGTTACTGTGATTCGCCCCTAAAATTTACTTTATATGGAAAAGTTTCATCATTAAAACCCTACTGCTTAAGTGCATATATCTCAAGATTGATTCTACGATACTTTGTAGAACAAGCATAGATGTTGATATCAGACAAGCTGGGTGTATACATCTAACTTTACACTGTGACCCTGTTAAGTTATATAAAGGCTCTGTGCCTTGGTTTCTAGACTACAAAATGAGAACCTTCTCACAGTTTCCCAAGGGTAGCATGGAGTTTAGAAAGAGCCAGTGCACATGCCTAACACAAAGCTCAGAGAGTGCTGAGCACTTCCAATGTGAATGCCTTTTCCTTCCTTCATCATTCCTGGCATATCTTGGCTATTTGGAGATTAGTGAGAAAATAGGTTAAAACTTACTGGAATAAATCAGATCCATTAAAAAGACTTATCTACATTGCAAGCAAGAGTTAGTACATTTCCAAAGTAACATTCAATGAGATCAAAACATTGGCTTCAAAAATATATTTACACTTTACAGGGAAATGTTTTTCAAGTCAACAATGAGAAAGAACAAATAAGCTGTGTCTGTGTGTAGAGTTTAATTTTGTAAAAGCAAAGAAATATACCAATTTTATTAAATGTTCAGTGTTCATGGACAGGTAACAGAAACAAAGCGACTTCATAGAGCAATCTACATCAACATCAAAAAATATTAAAATAGAGATTCTCTAAAGAAAAGAGTCTTTCTTGAATGGGATTGATACTTAGTGGTTCCCATTATTTGTCCATGAAAGCTAAGAAAGGTGCTATTTCAAGCAGAATTCTAGTAGAACTTGGCACATAAGTTTTAACTTTTTAAGCAACCATTACTCTTCATTTTCTTGTAGGTTCACTCTCTCAGACAATCTCACATATACATACATTAATATTAAAAACATTCATGGCTATAGAGCAGAAAATTCATCCTAAAATTACATTTTCTACAACAAAAGCAGGTCACCACATTTATGTCCAATGTCTCAGTCAGGGAAATGGGTTTTCCTCAATCCGCTGATTAACACACACTATTATGTTCAATATTTCAAAAGGTGTGTTTCTAGGAAGAACTATTGGATCATGTGCAAGAATTCTAAGGCAATATAAGTAGTTGCTCCACAGGAAATATATGTATCTGCCTTTGCAATGATATACTCAATATACTTCACAAGTCTTTACTCTTCAAATGCTACCAGCCAGACATATGGAGACATTCATAGTCTATAGTTGGCTCAAAGGTCAAAAAATTGTTTAAAACAAAGTTTATGGAATAGCACCATAAGAAGTCTTTCCAAAAAAACATCCTTTTTTCAACATGCCATTTTTGAACTGAATTCCAGGAAGCAAAAAAAAGAGAGATTTTAAATTCTCACAAGGGCCACTTCCCCTTCATTCTATTTTTTTAAAAAACACACTAACCATGACATCAACAATAATAACTACAACAATAATACATCATTAACAAAAGAAAGACAATAGCAGCAGTAGTAATTTGAACATGAATCATCCAGGCAGTCATTTAGAAGAATCCTGCACACACCTCATGGGAGTTTTCTCATAAGGACCTTAAGACATCATAGATTTGTTGTGAAAAGGCAGGACTTACACAGAAAGAACTGAGTTTACCAATTAACTGGGCATTTTCCAGTAATTACAAAATGATGTCTAGACTTTAACTGCATTAATAGATACTATCCACACTTTGAACTTGTCAAAATGTAAATACAATGAAGTAGTCTCAATATCACTTGTGTTTTGAAGAGGTTAAGCTGGCCTGCAAGTGAAAATAATGAAGCTGAAATATTCCAGTTTCCAGACATCGCACACACACACACACACGTACACACACACGCACACACACAGAGTACAAACCACCCTCCAAAGACTCCCACTTCACATCACCTTATATGAATCTGGTTTACATTGTATCAGAGATACAAAGTCAAAGCAATTACGCTAAAGGTAAAAGGTTTTCCAATTTATGACCTGCAAGATCATTGTACAATCCCAAGTCTTGAAAAATAGTCAAAAAGAACACCCTGCAGGGTGACAGCCCCAGAATTGAACTGTGTGAATCATGAGGCATCAGTTTCAAGCTGTGAACACAAGCTGATGGAGGCTTTCTTGAAGCAGAAGGTGCCCATCCACCATTTTTTTTTAATGCATCAAGCATGGAGTTCAGATATTCTTGTAATGCTGGTCAGCGTTAGCTGGAAACTCTTTTAGTACAGTTAGTATAACTTTGATCTTACAGTTTTCTTTTGTTCAAACTCACTATATAAAACATTTGTACTAATATCGTCAGTTTAAAAAAAATATGTCTTCTCTCCACTGTGCACATTCCTTTAGGTTCTGAGAGAGGTTCAGGTGCTATTTTTTGGTATGCATGCTTTCTGGATCTCTTGTGCTCTTGTATCTTATATAAAATCCTTTCTTGTTGATTGTGTCATCGGTGTGAAAATGAATTAAAACTGCATCCCCAATTGAATAGATTTCTTCTGGTGGCTGAAGAAAAAAATAACAAACAACAGAATGAGTCATTTTTTTCTTCAATGCAATATATGTTTGAGAACATTTTTCTATGTTATATAATTTAATACTCCCAACAGCCTTGAAAAACAGATGTGACTGACTTCTTTTTAGAGAATGGGAATCTTCAAATTCAGAAAACAATGATGTGGCTAGAGATCACGTGGTTAGTGCTATAGTTGGGTTTTAAACATACGTTACTCTATTTCTAAGTTTTAAACACGTTCTAGAATTTAGCATTTTTATCACTGAACACTTAAGCCAGGTTCTTTTGATATATAAGTAAATAAAGTGAGATTCAGAAATGGTAAATAGAATAAATTCCTTTCAGAAGTTACTCTGAGGCAGAGTCACTTGCAGAATCTAAATGTTCCATTGTGGTTGCTGTTGTATTATCTACAAAACCCAGTATCTTCACACTGAGCTACATCTTAAGCCTTTTCACTTTTTGAGAAAAGATCTCACTCAGTTGCCCAGACTGGCCTCTAACTTGGCAGTCTTCCTATCTCAGCCTCCTAAATAGTGGGGATTACAGGCATGTGCTCAGTCACTACTTCTTATTTTAATAGCTTAAGTATGAAGAAACTTTTTTGTTTCACTTTAGCTATTACTTGGGCACTACTTCAACAGTATTATTTAAATAGAGATTAGTGGACTTCAAAAGCTTGGGAGTGATATCCTCACAACAAAATATGTATTCAGAAAACTAATATTACTTCATTGAGCCATGGGGGTACACCACTGAGGAAATGTTAAGCTTATCTTGGTCTTCTCTCTCATGATGACCTCCTCTGACCTGTTCATGACTCTCTTTACTTGCACACGTGACGCTGTGCCATGGAATACTATTCTCCCAGCACTGGATGAGCCCAAACACTGGTGGCTTATCCTATCATTCTCATCAAAAGTATTTGTTGAGAAGGTAATGTGAATTAGATGGTGTACATATTTTTTTTTCTTGTATTTTTTTTAGGAAGGTGACAACATTTTTAAGGGTATGTGTTCAAGTGTTTTGCTTTTAGGTTGTTAAGCACTTAAATATTCATTCCACAATATAAAGAACATGAAAAATAATAAGAAACTGGAAATAATAAATTCATTTGCTCATCTAAAATTATCGGGCAAATCCATTAGAAACAGAGAAGTGGGAAAGGTAGCAGAGACAAATTATATTTCATCAAGTCATTAAAAATAAAATTAAATAACTTAATATTTATAAATTTATAATATTAATAAAATTAATAAAATAAAATTATTTGGGAGATTATTACCAATTCATAAACGTTATACCTATCCATCATTAGTCATAGGCATTTTAATATATGTTAGGTATCATTTTGTTAGTTTATTTACTTACTCCAGATCCACAGAAGCGACCAAGACCCACAGCTGTCGAATCGAGACCATCAAAGAGTTCAACATAGTCATAGCCACAGTCTGCCTCTTCTTCCACTTCAAAGGCCTGGAAAGATAGTTCAAGTCGAGAGCCTCGTTCGGATACTAGCAGCCATTCACAGTCGACCTGTCCTGGATAGTTGTTATCACCAAACTGTGCGTGTGAGTACAGATCTCTGGATTTTGGTTCTGCTTTCAATCGACCTCCACACTCTGCCCAGGAAAGAAAAATGAAATGAGTCAGTCCAGCGAGCTTTCAAGGGTTCAATTTCAGTGTCAATGTATTCTACCCATTCTCTAATTTTGCTTCACTTCCACCACCAGATGTGTATCCAGAACTGGAGCACGATACAGCGTAACGGTGCTAACTGGCACAGGCTCCAGACACAGGCTGCCTAGGGTGGAACCTGAGCTCCAGCACACACTAACTGTGGTGCTGGCAACTGATGTCACTTCTCTGATTCTGTTTTATCAAGAGTATGTAACAGATGATAATTAATAATGGCAGCAATGTTAGTAGGCTTTCAGAACACAATAAGTGAAAATCACATATTAACTCTCAGTAATGTTTTTACTGTTATATCTAATGTTGTTTTTATTCTATAACAATTATTTTCATGGAGGAAAGACCAGGAACTTAACTTGATTTTAATCTTAGTAATTTTAGAACCCAAAATTCAAAGAAAAAATAAGCAACTGAAAAATAAATAAAATGTTTAAAAAGTGTGTGTATATGAGCATGTGCATGTTACATAGAACTTTCTAAATGTATATAAAACTGTGTTATGTTTTTAGGTAGAAATATTTGATCAGGAAAAAACATACACACATAATGAATTATAGTTATTTTTGTTAATTCCAGAACCTTATATTCAATTATAGGTTGTGTGCCTTCAATAATAAAAGAAAGTAAACGCACTATTTGGCTGCTTGTTTACAAAGGCATTAGTCAACAAATGCTCTATCCATTATTACCTTATCACTAGAGGAAAATATATCAAAGAAATAAATCAGTGAGTATTAGGTACAATTTAGATAATAAAAGTTTCAAAAAATGATCCCAGGATCCCTTCATTGTCAAAGCCCCAAAACTTTATAACGGGAGATTCAACAAAGGCAGTGAAAGAGTGCCTTTACAAGGAGTGATCAAAAATACAGTGAAAAGTAGACTCATCAAAACATTACAGTGTGTCCTCTTCCACCTTTTTCACCAGATCTGGCACCATGTGACTTTTTTGTCTGCCCAATGTCAAGATAACCATGAAAAGTACACATTTTGAAAGGATTTAGTACAGTGGAACAAAAGATACAAAAGAGGACTTCCACAACTACTTCAGAGAGTAGCAAGGGGATAAGTGTGTTCAAAGCAAGGAGGAATATTTTGAGGGGACTAATGGTAATGTGTCCTTTATTGTAATAAATTTCTTTTTATTTAAATATTAGCCATATTTTTTCAATCACACTTCATGTACATGTGGGTAAACATGTTTTGAAAGCACTCCCAAAAAGCAGAATTCCAATAAAATTGGGATTTTATTTCCCTAGTCTCACACATTGGAAGCTAAGTATCCCTCCTTTTTCTTCACAGTGCTTTTCTTATCCTACTAACTCCAAGAATCAATGTTCTCTCCCTGAAACAGCCCTGTTTATTTTTTGGTGAAGTAATACATTTGTGTCAAATTGTATGGTGTAGTAGATCCAAGCTCTGTCCTTTGTCCCACAACTTCTTTTGCATATATTTTTTAAAAAATTTTGTGCTCTAAATTGAACCCAGGGCCTTCCACATACCAAGGATTTGCTCTACCACAGTGTAATGTGCTCCACACCTCATGACTTCATTTCTAAAAATGAAGATTATACATAGTACTCACATCATAAGTTCTAGATGGAGAGTAAATGAGTTAACATATGTAATGGCTTGAATAGTGCCTGGAACATATTTAAAAGCCATAGTAAATTGTATATAAGGAGTCATTATTATCATTATTATTTTCCTGAGAGAACATTTAAATGGTAGCATCCACTCAGGTATGAAATGAAAAGGCAGAAATCTAGAAAATGTAAAATACTATTAATCTGCTCTTACAAAAGAAAAAATATATTTCTGAAGGCAAGAAAAATATTTTGTGCAAAATATTTCTGAATTCAACATAGAAATGTGTAAACCAGACAAATGTCATTTGTCAGTTTTTAAAAATCTACCAGTTCTCAAAGTTTGATATAGTGGAAGCATTTGTTTTTGACTTTCAAAAGACTGTCAGCATTTGTACTTTTTTCAGTTCCCAGGCCAGGAGAAATTGAAGGAGGAGACCAGGAGATACGGAGGAGGTCCTTGGTTTTGAGTGCCTGCTTCACAGTATGAGATGGGGGGGAATCAAGCCAGGATCCGGGAGAGGAAATCCTCTGCCAGCCCCAGCTGGAACAAAAATCAAGGAGGAAATAATGGAGTGAGTGAAATAAGAAAAGAGATTTCACAATCTTTATGAACATAAAAGTCACAGAAAGGAGGTGCTATTTGGTTTTATTGAAAATTGACCTACTTTTTAAAAAAATTCCTTAAATGACATTTAGGAGTAATTTTAAATGCTCTAAAAATTCTCTTTTTTGTATCTGTTTCAGTACACAGCCTTATTCCTATAAATCACTACTCCTACTAAATATCTGAAAATAATGTTATAACCATGAAAAAAAGAATTTAGCCTACAGCATTCATTTTTTAAAGCTGTGAATTTGAATATTATGTGTGTAAGATGTGTGATTTTAATATACCCTGAGAGAAATTCCATGAGCAATATATGATGGGTAGCATGATGGAAATTACTTTAGTGATTATGAGAATCCTTGTGGCTACTCAAACTCTAGTCAGTACAGCATTTAACAGGTGCATTTGAAGAGATAATTTTTAAGTTGAGTCAATATATTTTTCATAGAATGTCCCTATTCATTTACTAAGTCAGAAAAAAATATGAAACCAGTCCTTTAGTATGTGAATGGTATGATTTTTAAATTAATAGTTGAAGGTAATTTAGAAGCTTCTGGAACATCTTCCACAGAATTCTGGGAAATGGAAAATGGAGGCCAATGAATAACAGCATCAGAAAGAGAAGCCCAGGGTGGTCTTCATTCTAATTTGAAAAGACATGTTTATTCTTGTTGAAGTATTACATTCGGGAAGAGGTCCTGTAATTTGACCTACAAATGCTTTAGTGGACATGCTAATTTCCTTGATGTTGATCAAAATAATTTTCTTTCCAAGTTGCATAATACTATATTATGTGATTTTTTTTAGAATGTCAAGGACAAATAGTATGATGTCTTATATTACAGAAAAGATTTCCTAATAGACAATGGCATATTTTTTAAAAAAAAATTTTCTCTCCACTTTTCTCCCCAATTTCTGTTATAGCCATATCTTTTGACAAAAAAAATGTAGAATTTTTTTATTATGAAATTTTTTTCTTTCAAACAGTTTACCTAATGCTAGGGTAATACCATTTGTTATCTGATTAAGGTAAATTTATATTTAGAATTTGAATCAACTATCAGAGAAAAAAAGGACTCTTTCTAATAAAGTCCATTTTCCATGATTTAGTATTACTTGTGGAAAATAACCATAAAGCTATGCTACAGCCATTTTTCAAATCATCTATTTATAATGCTAGACATTTTTCTTGTGGATAAAATTGAAAATTGTATAAGAAATATAAATTTAAGAACACTAACATATGTGCTTGAGAACGCAACAGTAATGGCTACATCTATTCTAGAAGGCAGTAAATAATGCATAAATGTAAGGAAAGGTAACAGATGTGGTTTGTATTTTGCTGTCTTGTTAACAGAAACTGAAAGATAAGCTGAAAATCAAGTATAACATAGACTAAGCTGTTAACAGTCAGGAATTTATTCTACTGTTTTATAAATTCCTACACATTCTTGATTTTGTTCTACAAATTATTAATGCATTATATGGTCTATCCAAAGCAGATGTCCAAAAAAGTTGATGAAAGATTAGAATAGTTGAATGTGTTAAAGAGAATGTTTTGAGGAGGCTGCATAAGAATGTCAGCCTGGATTGCACAAAAAATAACAGTATTAAACAATCTACTCAGAAAATTCCCATACAGCTGGATAAATCAGACCAAACATTTTTAAATGACAGTAACAAAGAAACACATTATACAAAAATTTTGACAAGAGTGAATGACCAGGTGTTCTGAAGCCAGCACTCTAATTCCAACTGTTACTAACTTTTGTGCTACTTCAGTTTTTAGCCTCAGATTGCTCATGTCTGAAATGTCAGAGCTGGATTGAACAATATCCAGGCCTGTTTTGTTGAAAACAATCTGACTAGGATTGCTCAGTATTTGAATCAACACAAATTGAACAGAGAAGCAAAATAAGCCTTTTTAGTTATATATATTATGCACAGGGTTTGCTTAAAACCTGCTATACAAACCTCTTACAAGGAAGCATTCAATTCTAACCTATTGTTACAAATCACAATTGATACAGTTTTTTTATTAGTTTCTTCCTAATTCAAAAATTTTACGTAGATAAAACGTACTATGGTGGAAAATATATTAGTTCTGGGCACAGAATTATGATAAAACCTGAGCTTTGACACTATTTTATTTTTACAGTCTTTTTTTACTGTTTTTAACCTTATGATATACAATAATTACATGCAACTTGGAGAATTAGTATGTGTATATATATATATATGGCATCATTTTAACTTTGATATTACTTTACAAGCCTTTGGAAATTAATCATCCAGATTTTAATTCCCTTCATTTCCAAAAGCGAAGATGATAATCTCTATTTCATACAGTTCCTGGGAGACTTCAGTTATGTAAATTACATATATTTGTATATTACATATATTTGTTTATTATATTATAAACAGGATCTAAATAGGATGCGTGAATGGAGGGCATAAAATTTAGGAATTCATGAACTCCTAGAGCTGTAACTTTGAGATAATTATTTTCAGATGGCACAACTTGAATCCAATGAAATAGTCTTTTCCAAAGTTTCCTAAGTCACACTTGGAATGAGGAACCAGAGGTACTGACTCACTAACATCATTTGTTCTCAATACTCTCTTTTACAAAGAGTGTAAAGAAAAACCTCTAGAAATAAGCTTTGATAAAAATTTATAGACACTACTATATAATCTGCTATTTCAAGAATTTTGTTTTGACGTATTTTCATACTGCATTCTTGAAAGCTGAGATAGCCAGGATATTTCCTTAAATGCCAAGAACTTTGGGCTATAACAAAATATTGTTAAAGTACAGTAATAAGATTCAAATTTTTCTGCCCCTTCAATGTTTATAAGCATTGGGACTGTACTTAAAGTATAAATACCAAATACTGTGTATGAAAAATCTCATCAATATGGTATTTCTATGGTTCGTGAAAGATTTTTCTCAAACTGTAACATTTGTGGTAATAATGAGAAACAAAATATGATGAACAAGAGTCCAGTAAATACTGGTATAAACCATATCAATGTTCTGACAAGATATATCCACTTTCTCATACATTAGATCTACTGCTACTGATACAATACAGTGAAATACAATACTGGGAAATTAAATAGTTAAAAACAAGATTTATAAATCAAAGTGAAGCAAAATAAAACAATCAGCAGGAGACAATGATAAATATCAATCACTGATTTAAAATTATTTCATAGATGAATATATATTTCTCCGTGTTATCAAGCTTTTGTGGATTAGTAAAACCACTAGGTGTCAGTATAAGCTAAACAACTTCAGCAAATATCTACTATTAACTGATTTTTTTTTTCAAACTGAATAAAAGAAAAAGGAAGGAACTTCTTAGACAGCTATGAACATATAATTAAATTGGCCACAAATTATAAACAATTATATTCTCCTTTTTTGCCTAAAAATGTTTATATTTTTCTAAGTTAAAATTTATTTCCTAAAGACTTCTAGAAGAGCTAAAATCTGTAAGGCACAAGTTAGAATTGTAATAGAGAAAAGATCATGTTGCAAACCAAATAGGAGACAGAAAAAACAAACAAGGCACTGTGAAACAGAGATAAATCCCAAAATTAATAACAAAAAGAAATTACTGCAAAAGCTTCCTAACCAGGTAGGTTATTTGATAAAATATAAGCTTTGAATACCAAAGTATACAGTTCTATCTGTTAAAGATAACACATTGGCCAACTGCTAAAATTATAAATTTTCTTATGGAAATATTTTGATAGTTCTACTTGACCATATTTCATTGATCACAAATGAAACTAAAACCTATTAATTTATTTATTGTCTGTATGTTCAACCTCTACAAAGATATTTAGGTAGAATGCTGAGCAATTCTTCAAATATTTCAGAAAGTGCTTCAATGAGATTTTATCTACCAGACTTGGATATTTGTTGAAGATCCTGTTAATGAGCCAAATACACACATGCACCAGAAAAGAAACTTCCATCTTAGACAAAAAAGAGAAGTATGATCCTAATTTGCTGACCTGTAGAATGTGTGGCTTGAAAGCCTTTTCTCTGAACAGATGCGTCAGAAATAAACCGAACAAACATTTTATTTCCAGTAGCCACAAGGGGATCCGGTATGTTGTTACCGCATAGTCGTCCAAGAATTGGTGATTTTTCTGTTTCTCCATCAAATACTTCTAAATGATCATAAGCACATTCTTGATGTTGCTCAATCTCAAACTCACTAAAGGCCTATTTTAAAAAAAGGAATAGAAAAAAGTTTTTATATATTGCAAATCATTCAAAATGAATTTTTTGTTTGAGGCAGAATATATATATGTGTATGTGTGTGTGTGTACACACATACACATATATATACATACACACACATATGCACGTTCAGGGCACACAAATGATTTAATCCATTCATAATGAGGAAAACAAGTAATGGCTTTGCATGTACTGTGGTTTGAATCTGAAATGGTTCCTAAAGGGCCATGCTTGGTCCTCAGGGTGGCATTATTAGGAAGTAGTGAACCCTTTAAGAGGTGGGCCAGTGGAAAGGCATTAGGTCATTAGGGACTGGACTCAAAATGGATTGAGGCAGTCCAGCCTCTACTCCTTTCACTCTTTTGCTTCTGGTCATGAGGTGAGCAATTTTGTTCCACAGTGTTCCCCTGCCATAGTATGTAATCTTGCTATAAGCCATAAAGCGATGGGATCAATTCATTATCACTTAGAACCTCTAAGAGCCAAAATAATCCTCTTATTTTTATAAATTGATTACCTCAGGTATTTTGGTGCTGTATCAGAAAACCATCGATCACAATATGAAATTCTACTATTCAGCTATTGCAACTAACTCTACTATTTCAATTAATACTATTCAGAATTTAAACAGATAATAATAACAGAATGGCATTTTGTGCCAAATTTAATCCAGAAGATTCTTCAGAAAAGTTTAATCAATTATATTTTTTAAATGATTCTGTCTAGGGCTGGGGATTTAGCTCTGTGGTGCTGCTGCCTGCCTCGCAAGCACAAGGTCCTGAGTTCGATCCCTGGTACCTCCCCCCTAATAAAAATGATTCCATCTAGTGGATGATCACAAACTTGTGAATATCACCCTATCTTTAGGCACTTAAATGAAGAAGGAAATCAAATAAAGTAATTATTACATTTTTACAAAATCTAAGTGCAATAAATCTCCATAAAATAACTAAAACCAAAGGATATTTTCAGCCCTATTTCTTTATTGAGATCTTACAACCCATATTATTAGAGAACACAAACATCAGTATCTTATTAAGTTAGAATATTTTAAAGTTCCTTTTCAGTAATATTTTGCACTAACATTACTATCTGGTATCTTGCAAGTTTGGTATGTTTTTCCATTACTTATGACATTTAAAAATCTAACCTTTGTAGGAACTTTATGTTTGAGTTTTAACAAATGTAAAATTAAACTAATGAAATATACAATAAGTTAAAAATCACCAAAGAAATTTTAATTGAGATGCACTGAAAAGAGTATTACCCAAACTTACAAATTACAGGTTATCTAGGAATTACAGGTTATTTTCAATTTCCAATAAAGTTTATAGTCTTTCCTCCAGAGCAACCATCATGCCCTGGAGAAATAAACCACTATTCTTATTTACATCTTTTAAACAAAGCAAAAAATTATAAAGAAAAAAAACAGAAGAAATACAAAATATGCTTTAAATTTTATTAATTTTGTTTAATCTCTGAAGCATAAGATGTAATTTGTAAAAAATATTTTAATATAAAGATTTTCCATTATGTAATGTTGTGAAGTGATCATAATTTTCAATTTGATGAAGACATACAAAAATGGCTCTCAGTGCTGGCCAGATTATATATTTCACACCAAACTCTACCTCCTTCTATTGCTTCTAACTTTGGAGGAGTAAGAGAAGAAACAGAAGTAATTTATATTACCTAGAGAGTAGAAGAAACACATGCAGTTACTTAACAGAGGCAAGAAATGAAAAGAAAGCTGATCTTACTTAGGTGCCATTCCATTGCACCCTACCTGAGGAGTATAAATACAAATGTTATAACTGATAAGCATTAGAATTATTACTTGTTATAATCATTATGAGTAAAAGAAATGTTCCTTTCATTTGACAAAAGGCACTGGATAGTACAAAAAAAAAGACTGAGCATAGCACAAAGAACTTCTCAAGAAATAGAAAGCGGTGCAAGGAAATATAGTGAACAAGCAGACTTCTGGTGAGTTTATTTACCATGAACCACAGCATGCAAAGCAGGTAGTGACTCGCTTTGTCTTATTAATTACATGCATTGGTCTCTGTAATGCAATGTTAGAGTAGACACAGATCATGGAACAAGGAGCCCAGTGGATGTCTGGATGTCTGGATAGGTCTGTCACTTCATTTAGTTAACCACCTGTCTCTTGTTTGTGGTTGATCTCATGTATGAAAATTCTCTAAACATGGCCAGTCAAAACTTCTGGTTTTATGCCTCTCTCGACATGGTCCTCAATCAGCTCCTATTACCACTGTGTACACAGAACACATGCTTAAGATCAGTTTGTAACCAGTAAGAAACCACAAGAGAAAATGAGCTCAACTGCACCCAGAATTCTTTAAGCCAAGCCTCTCAAGCATAAGAACAATGTTATCTCAAGAGCATAAAACATTATTTTGGGAAAATAGCAATATCTGAAAACCATTGTATGTCATGTAATTTTTTCTTTTCCTGGTAAATTATGGCCATTGATTTATAAATATGAGGAGCATGGAAACCAGCTTATGTAGAAGAGAATAGTCTAAGAAAGAAAGATGAGGGTAATGTGATTTTAAGAATAACCTGTAAGTAATTGCTGAACATGGATCAGAACTTACAGACCACACTTTTACAGTCCATTCACTAGTCCTTAAAACACTAAGTGAACATGACGAATAAGTGACTATTTTGCTTCCAGTGAATTGCAGGAATCTGGAGTAAACAATAACATCTCTTTAGCAGAACAGAGCAACATCACACAAAGTGGCATTGATAGGGTGGGCTGTGGGCCATAGTGACACCTGGTCCAGAGCCAAAATGCTCTGGCTTCCTATCAAGTTACTAATGGAACAAGACTGAGTCCACAAGAGTTAAATTAGTCAAAGATTCCATAACAGACAAACACTCAAATGGTACCAACAACTCTCACTAAGGTATTAATGAATTTTCCTCTTGGAAAAGAGAATAGCTTCTTAGGTCAACTGCAAAGACTGGGTACTCCTTTTCCAGAAATTAACCTGATCCAAAGAACCACCACACACAACAAAAGCCACGACTCTTTCACACACTGAGATGTTATAAGTCTGTGCCACAGAGGCATCCACAGAGAGATCTCTGTATATGTTGTTACTTCAACAAAGAATAGTTATAAATCACAAAAAGTATTACAGGAGCCGTTGGGAAACTGGAATAGCTTTTAAAATACTCTTTAGAGCTCACAGTGATAAAGTACATTACACAATTTATCAGCTTTTAATGAAACATGCTGAACCACAAACTCTACATCTAAATTACAGAGAATGTGAAACTTTTTAGTCACTGGGAGCAAAAGCTACAGAAATCTCCCCAGACAACACTCAGGGGCCCAAGTATCCTTAACATTCACAATGCAGACAGGAAAGCCAGGAATGCTAAATATATGAAGCTACAAGGAACTCTAATTTTGGTTAAAATGCTTTCCCCTGCTTCTTCTTATTTTAATTTGCTTGTTTGTTTTAGGACTGAAATTTTTTTTAAGCATTTACACTCAGACTCCATAAGCATTTGAGTATTAAAATTTTAAAGCTTACTCATCCTATGATTATATTTCCATGATTTTAGGATACTAATCTAGATTTTAGGAAGGCCACACACACACACACACACACACACATGCACACACACACACACACACACAGTAAATAACCATGAGTTCTAGTCAGAAATCTAATGCATTTCCCATAAGGCAAACTAGGAGATTAAGAAGTCCATTCAAAAGAAATAAAATTGAACTCTCCTTATAGGCTGTAGAAGTAACTGTTTCTGGAACACCCAAGCAAGCCTAATCTACCTGGATAGCCAACGTTCAGGCTCCCTTACACCATTTCTTCAAATGAACATCTGCAAACGTTCTTTTATTAAAAATATAGATATTGGCTAAAGTCTGAGGTTAGGTACCATAACTACATATTTTCACAAAGGACAAGATAATAAAATGATTACATTTAAGATAGAAATAAAATTTAGAAGGATAAGATGAATGTTTAAACTAAAAGAATTAAAGAGACTGATGAATTTGAACAGCTGTGAGATAAGCTTAGAACTCCCTAGTACCAGCCATCTTTCGCCTTCTCCCGTCTTCAGTAAGAACTGTCATTTAGTTTCCACAAGATAATTGAAGGATTAGAGGCCACTGGAAAAATAGGGCAGAGTAGAATATAAATTCTAGTTTTCTGATTCAAAAGGTCTCTTCTTTTCTGTGAGTCTTCTATAGTAACTGTGATCAGATATGTTTTATGGATTTGTGTTGGAGAATTCTATAACAGTTGTAGAAGATTTTGTTTTTTAAATATCCCATGTACAAGACTAGGGATTGCAACTGCATGTAACTTAGCAAAACTCTAAGATACAAATCAAATAAAAATTACATAAAGCTATTGTAGTATGTTCTTATATCTAGAACTATGTTTGCATTTGCTTTTAATGATCAATTCAAACTATGAAAAAGTTACCAAAAACTTGATCAATTTTGAGCTTCTCAAAACCAAGACAGGATATGGCAAAGGAATATAGATCCTTTGCCTTATTCATTAAGAACTTTATCCTTGTTCGAATAGGAAGACTTTTTCCATGAATATTTTGGTTAACGTTTTCACTTTAAAGATATCATATGATCATTTTATGATTAAACACACACACACACGCTTAAATCAGGCAATATATTTATTTTAAGTGATTGTAGCAAACTACCACAAACTTAGAGGGTTAAAATAACACAGATTTATTCTTCTTTAGCCTTAGATGTCAATAATATAAAGTGGGTAGGTAATGCTAAGTTTTTTTCTAGAGGTCCTGGGTAAGAACACACTTCCTTGAATTTTTCCAACCTTTAGGGTCAGCTTGCACTCCTTAGCTCACACCTCTTTCTGCCAAGTTCAAAGCCTGCAATGTAGCATTTTCTTTCTTCTCTGACCTCCTGCTTCCTTTTTGTAAGGACCCTTGTGATTAGGGCATCCAACAAATCTCCCCTTTTTAAGATGTGTAATCTTACCACATCTGCAGTTTCTTTTGCCATGGAAGGTAACATATTCGCAAGTTCTGGAAATTAGAACATGGGACACTTTTGGGGAGCCATTGTCTTCCTTCCACAGAGCATCAGGGCTAAACATTTTCATCCTCTGAGGTGCATGTAAGTTTCAGGGGGAAATGAGCACAGACGCTTAGGAATTCATGCTTCCAAATTCTTTTCCTTGACTTTCTTAGCTCTAGGGAAAAAAACTACATCCTACAGGCCTACAGAGTTTTTGAAATAAAACTGTATTGGAACACAGAATAATTCATTCATTTGGGTATTGTTTCTGCCTATTTTCAAACTAAAATGTCAGCTTTAAATTGTTGTAACATAGATTGTATAGCCCATGACGTCTGTATTTACTGCATAGTTCTTCAGAGAAAAAGTTTTCTGAAAAGTAATCAGTAGCCACCTTTTCAATTGTTAGAAATGAATTTCATATGAAAAAACCTCTAATTTACTTTGAATAATTCAATAAAATGGTGATTTTTATTAATTATTACCTAATGATTACTATTTGGATATCGTGTGTCAATTTTTTACTAGCATTTAATAAAGCACTATGAAAAGCACTTTATATACAAGTTCACTTAATATGCAAACAAATCCAAGAACAAACATTATCTCCAATTTCCAGTGAAGGAATCAGGCCCTTACAGGGATGAATATCTTCCTCAAGAAAGTATGGATAGTAAGTAGGAGTGTTAGGATCTAGACTGATTTCTTTAAATTCAAAATGTATGTTCCATATTCCTCAATACCTCCTTGTGGTACATTTTAACTTAATCATTATTAGCTTGTCTTACAAATATTGTTTCCCACTTAATTCTTTGTACATTTAAATTACCAACTCGGCAAACACACATAGCAACTACACATGTATTTCCTCCCCAATACAGGAGGTTACAATGGAAAATAAGATAAAATATAGAGAAAGAATGCTTGGATTTAAAGTCATTTGAACTCTTGGAGTTATAGACTTGCTAAATTGCCTAAACTCTCTGGGACTGCTTCCTATCTGGCAGTGTCATTTCTGCCACAAATTGAGATTATAATCACAATGCCAGTTTGAAACCACTAGGTGATGTATACACATTAAGTTCTAATAAGATGTGTGCCGTCAAGCTACACTGGACATTTTGGGAAGCACTTTCAAGAAATGAAACAATTTAAAGCCATACTTTTATTTGCAGAATTATGTATGAGAGGGTATTCATTTTACAAAAGTTTAAAGGACAGTTCCAAGCTCTCCAGATTACAGTTCTCTAGCTTCCTATATTTTCATGAAGATAGTATTTCAAGGATTTACAGAGATCAGAGCATACCTATCAGTTAAGAGATGTGAAGGAATCCAAAAAATTTCTCCAGAATGAAATACTAACATATAAATATAATTGTGCTCCTTAATATTCATAGTTAGCTTTATAATAGATAATTCACTGGTTTAGGGATAAAAAATAATGAGTATGTTTATTATGTGGTATTGATATAATGTAAATCATCATTGTATGCAAATCATTATTTTATATTACTGGACATTATTTACTCTGGCATTAAAGAAAACAACCTCTAAGTATTTCCTAATTGTATATTGAATGCTTTTGTTAGGTTTCCATTGATGTAACAAAATGGCTGACAGTAACAATTTGAAAGAGGAAAGATTTACTTTGACTCATGGTTTCAAAAATTTCAGTTGATTATTATGATCTCCATTATTTTGGGCCTGAGGCAAGGCAGAACACCATGGCAGGAAGCTTGCACTGCAACAAAGCAGCTCACCTTATGGTGGAGAGGAAGTAGAAAGACAGCATGGAAGGGGCGAAGGATATTGTATACCCTTCATGAACACATCCCCAGCAACCTGCTTCCTCCAATAATGATCTGTCTCCTACACTTTCCATCATGTCCACATATCTCATTAAGTTATGAATCCATCAATGGACTAATCCATTAATAAGTTACAGCTGTCATGATCCAATCATCCCCAAAGCCCCATCTCTGAATACTGCTGCGCTGGGGAACAAGTCTTCAATCCATGAGCCTCTGGCCGACACACCAGATCCAAAATATAATGGTGGTAATTTAACCTAAAAGTATTTCAGCAAAACATTCTGGACTTTTCCTCTTGTAGGGTGAACATAAGCAATAACTTATTTATGTTACCCTTACACCACTAAATATTAACAGCCTCACAAATTTAAGTGGCTGTGTAGAATTTAAAATGAGTACATATTCTTTGTTATTTCTCCCATTGAAAGACCAAGTCTAATTTTCCTCCACTAGCTTCCTGGCCAGCTTTAGTAATTTGGTTCAGCAATAAAATGCACAGAGATACTTAGGGGGGTCTCCAATGCTTCCATGGCCTTCAGAGACTCAAAACTAGATCACTATGCAGCAACAAAAACCTGATATATCCAAAAAAAGGATAATTGTATTATAATAGCCAAAGACTGAAATTTATATAAATCTAAAACAAACTGACCTCTGGTAGTTCAACTGTGATATTATTATGAAATAATACACACCTGGTGTGAATGATCACACTGTGAACTGAAAATACTCATGGTAACTAAGCACTATGCACAAGACTGCTCTCATCTCACAGAAGGCACTGGATTTTATTGTAATTTGTGGCATCCATAACGCAGATCATCTAAATAAGCTTGAAACCATAGTGCTATAAGTAAACCAAATCAAGATAAATGCCATCTTAGACATATATAGCTAGACAAACTACTATACACATCACTTAACACAACTTTATGTTAAAATATAGGAATATTTGGATAAGAAGTCATAGCAAAGCTCTCAAAGTTCACAAACTAGATTAGTTTTATTAAAAGTCTTCTAAAATTATCAGGAAAATCTTGTTTTGTCAACTGAATTGGTTAGCTGTATTCCTGATGAGAATGTAGCCCCTGCATTGCAGCCTGTAAGGTCTGGAGAATTATCTTCTCAATCAGGACCTTGGACAGGACTAGAAAGCTGCGGGCTTGCTATGGGCAGTCATCTCCGCATCTAGCATCCTTCACAGAGTGACTGAAATGAACTGTTGTCTGTCTGGAGAGTCACTTACAAATACGACAAATGGAAGAACTATGTACTAGGAATACAAATGTTATCATTGTGTCTCATTTTATTATAAAACAATATTTGAATAAGGACTCTTCATTGGTGGAAACAATTCACTGACTGGAACGGGATAAACAAGGAATTTAAAAATTAACCTGTTGGCTAGAATGACAAAAAACTACCTTGGTTTGGAAGCCTCTTTCCTACAATATTTTTCCTCTTTTTTACAGTGACTGTTAGTCTGTAATGAGCCTTGCTGGCTAGCATTCCCTCTTGTTCTAAATGCAGCATATTTCAGGAAGTTGTTTAAAGTTCCATATTCCTATGACTTTATTACCTTAAGATATACAACTTACAGACATTGATCTAAAATAAAATGTAACATTTACTACCAGATGAATATACTACAGCATAAGACTCAAAAATACAAAAGGAAAGGCAAACTATACATTCCTATTTGACCTACTGATATAGATCAATGTGTGGGAGAAATATAAAAATATTAGTATCCAACTACAAGGGTAATGCATTATGCAAAAATGATATTCTATAAACTACAAAGTTGATTATAAAAGCATATATGTTGTGTGTATGAGGCATATAGAATTGAGGTAATCAGTAGAATATATTATATTGTATTTAAGTGAATTATCCTGTTGTTTTCTTGCTGAATTTCTGACTTTCTGTTCTTTTATGTGTTATTCCATTGAGAAACATCATTACCCACTTGGAAAATTCATTACTAGTAACAAATAAGCTGATTGTTTCTAGCAACTTTAGCAATACCTTTTAAAACATCCATCAAAAAAAGCCCTGAAGGAGAAGAATATGGTTGTCATTTTATCTAGGAAATCAAGGATTTGTTTAGTATCAGGAGACAAGCACAAGAAGGATAATCTTTTCCAGATGCCTACTGATTTAATTCAGTTCCATAAATCTTATTTTTCCCCATATTGCGAGTTGTGAAAGACACAGCAATCGGCTTGATAGGAAGAAGATGGGCTCACTTACTAATTTAATCCGGTGGCCGGGAGTGGCTCTGATCTCCCACGTGCACTCTTTCCTGCTTGGGTACTTGTCTGGCCAGTTGGGACTGGTGATGTGACCACTCGGGCTGTGGATCTTCTGTTCACACTCAGCTGTGTCAATAATGACAGTATCAGTCAGTGTGGGAATCTAGCCCATGATTGGATCAGAAAACAAGCGGCCTACTTGCCAACTGCTCTGTTGAGAGATCTTCCTGAATACTAGCTAATCATCACTCCTATCTCTGTTATCATATTCATCTGTGTTGGGAAATATGTTGCTGAACATAATCAGGGAATGTTTGTAGTCTGACTCACTGGAAATTAAATGTTTACTACAAATCAGATAAATGCCTAAAAAGAAAATAAACTATTTTAAACTGTTGGACCCATGAGCTCAAAAATGTAATACAGCAACATATTTTGACAATCAAGAATATCAGCACTGGGTATATGAAAAATATGAAATGCATTGCCATCAACAGAAATTAATGGGCTGTGCAGTTTTAATTATTTTCTTTCCCTATTAATGGGAATATAATTTACAGCTAATTAAAATCATTAAAGCTTTTTATAAATCATGCATTTACATTTGTTGTCTCCCTTATGCATATTATCTGAATACCTAAACTATAAGTTTACCTGTTAACGTAAATTAACCACAATTTTATCAAGTATGGCTATCATCATTATTTAGGAAATCAAGGATTTATTTAGTATAAGTAGAAAAAAATGAGAAGAAAATCTTCTAACAGAATAAGGGGAAAATTAGGTGACCAGGTGCTAGCCTTGGAGATAACTTCTAAATTAATTTCAAAGAATATCTCATTCAGTTAGCATGGAATTTCTTCTATGTTTTTCACAACTAATGTCTCCTTAACTGAGATATATTAATATCAAATTTCAAAAATATTTGCGATCAGCATGTCAGGTTCACTCTAATTTATGAAGCTATACACTATAAATCTTGATTCAGATTGGAATTATTTGTCATGCCTTGTGTATTCCATTCTAAAATACAAATTATTTTCTAAAATTTTCCAAAAAAATCTACTTGGGAAAACTCTTTACCATCTGAACAATATACCTGTTACACTGCAGGGTTGCACATCAAGGCTCTGTCCTCAACACTAATTAATGTAAATGCTACTGCCATGGTTTCATTCCTTATTATGAAAACTTTACCTTAATCACAGTAGGTTTTCATAGAAAGATTTGGGATTGCAACAGAGGAAAACACTCAAAAAAAGAGAAAGATGAAATGTGGATCTTGTGGAACAAATTAGGATTTGCAAGACAATAGTCTTAATAATCTAGGAGGGAGGCCACTTGCCTACACTTGAGGCCCTTGGTTTCAGCCCTAGCACTGGAAAAAAAAAATCTAGATCTATTTTTGACAAAAGTTTTCTAAATTCCATCATCCCTATTTTTGCCTTGCCATATAAAATGTGGGATTCACAGAATCTACAATAGATTGAAACAAAGCTGGGAGGCTCAATTCTGAAATGTACAAGGCATGTATACTGTAGCAGGTGTAAAAGAAAATTCAACTTCTTTCCTGGCAATTGAAATGAACTTTATTTAAAAAAAATCCATGAAAAATAGGGCTGGGGATTTAGCTCAGTGGTTCCACCACCTGCCTCATAAGCGCAAGGTCCTGAGTTCGATCCCCGGTAAAAAAAAAAAAAATCCATAAAATGAACTTTATTTATGATTACCTGGACATCATTATATTTTAGAGAAAGTTTTTTTTTTCAGATAATTTCAGAAATATTAGCTGTTGTAATGAACATGGGCATGTTTGCTACTTGTGAACCATGGGTTACATGCATAATTTACAAAAGTTTTGTTTTGTTTTGTTTTTCTGAGTTACTTTCCACATCTGCAAAAACAACTGGGCCTATTGCCAAGCCTATTGACTTAGTAGCATACTCTACCAAGTTATAAATATCATGTTCACACATGAAAGTAGAGAGTAATTCCCTTTCGTATATGATTCTGCATAGTGCCATTTTCTCAAAGGAAAAAAGGGAACTATCCCTCATATGTGTTATTATTATAATGGAACTGAACAGAGCAAGGTGATTTCAGAATATTTTTTATTACTTTAAAATGTATACAAAAAGTATCTATATGCAGTTTTAATCAGGCCTTTCCAATCTACACATGCTTGTGACTAAAGTTATAAAATCTTCCTTAATAATTTTCTTTTCAAAACAGGCATGAATTCAATATAAGTAGAAATTACCAGGGCAGAACTTCAAAGGAAGAAATAAAAATTGAAAATTATACTTTGTTACCATCTAACTCAAGGTAGTAGAAGGAATTAAAATCATTATTTTTTTTTAAATACTGGAATTTTGTACGGCCTTAAGGATAACATCTACAAGGCTAGTATCATGCTACTAGTGTGCTATGTTGGCCAAAACCCTGACTTGAAATGTTAAATGGCACAGTAACTACCATTTTCAAATGTCTTTCCTTTGGTAGGCATTTGAGTTTGATACTTCTGTATTTATAGATACATCACTCATGTAGTACAGATTTGGAGAAGGACATTATACCAAATTTTAAAATTTTGCAGAAGTTAAGTTTATACATAAATAGTGTTACAAGGTCTGTTCAACCAAGACCTGGGCATCCTGCAGGGGAATTTTTGGCTACCAAGTAGTGTTATAGGAGCTTCTACATCTATTATACAAAGTGACTCTAATGACATCCATGTGTAAAGTGTGAAACCTTTGGGTGATATAATGAGATTTCCAATAAGATGGTTTGGAAATCTGAAGATTGCACCGAATTTTTATTTTTCTTTTTTTCACCTTTGAACAGTCAACAGCAGTATAGTTCAATGATATGACTAAGTCTATTTCAAAGTAATAATTTGTGCAAACCACGTGAAATCAAAGATTTTTTTTTTCAAAATAAGAGCATTCTTTTCCATACCTTCCTTGCAATCATGTTTATTTTCATGCAGGACAAATCCATTCCGGCACTGACACATGTAGCTTCCCATTGTGTTGACACATTCATGCTGACACCCGCCATTATCCTTAGAACATTCATCTTTGTCTGTCAAAGAAATAAAGCCTGTCGTTTAGTAAGGAGCTTTAAAAACAAAGAATACCAACAGAGAGTGTTTTAGTTGTGGGGAACATTAGCAAAGGGTAAACTAAGTGATAGTGCTCCTTGTTCACAATACAAAACAAGTAAAAATTAACAGTATCTTAGTTTTACTTCTTCCTTGCTTAGCTTGGAGCTTTGTACCATGGATTGAATTTCTGAGTCTATGTATGGCAGGTAACAATTGCAATTCTTCCACCCCCAGGCTGATGTGAAAGTTTTAAGTAGGAGAATGACGAAATCAAGAGATTTTTGTTCCATTTCAAAAGACTTACTGATGATGTTTAGAAATAAGTTTTTAATTGTGAGTGGTTTAGATAAAGACAAGAAATACCATTTACATAGAAGAAAATCCTTCAGTATAGTTACCATGGTGTATAGCCAGAGGCTAAACAAGTTTGCAAGCTTTCTATGTACTCACTTTTTAAAAATATCATTCAGTAAAATACTGTAGTTGATTTTTTTTTGTTGTTAACTGGGCAGATATGCTTAGCATTAATGAATCAGGACATTTAAAAACATTCCAAGACAGAAAAAGCCATCAATTAGACCATCCTAAAGGTGAAACAATTTATATTAATTCTCTTAAGCAAATCTACTCTGACAGACCAATTTATTAATAAGTCATCCCCTGAAAGGGCTTTTAGTGTGCTAGAAGGAAAGTTAAGGTTAGAATAAGAAATATGAGCTTTAAGAAACAGCTACCAAATTGATGACAGGGAAAAAAGCCAAACTAGATGAACAGGCAGTCAATCCAGGGAGAGGCATCAGCTCTCACACTATGTCACTCAGCTGTCATCCCATGGCAGGCATGGCCATTTAACTAGAACTGGCAGATTGCTCCTGACACACATATATGATGACACATCACTCACATGTTCATCCCACACAGAGAGAATAAAAAGAACACAGTGCATCCTTATCAGATGCTAGAGTGAAGTCATATTTCACTCTGTCAGTTGACTTTTCTACTGAGAACTACTGAGTTCATGGTGCTACACAAATAGTGCAAGTTTTGCTTTTTTAATCATTAATATTCTCCTATGGAGTTAGGTTGAGGAAAAATATTTTCATTAACTAATCTTATAATAATTTTAAAGATGCATCCATGTTTCCATTATTAAGTGTTGATTATATGGTATACCACACAGGCTTGCAGGATGCATTCATGTGCAATACAAGAATATTTCAAACATATAGGCACTCTCATTCTTGAAAGAATATATCAGAATCAGCATATTTGTGATTTATGCATTCTCTATCTATCCTTGACACTTCCATTATTCTTTTAATACTTACTATGAAGAGTCTAAGAAAAAAAGAATAAAAATTTATTTTTAAAAACCAACAAACAGCAAAATATATGAGATATTTGAATTATCTTTATAAAATTGATTTTAGAGCAATTCATCATAACTCTGTGCCCCTATTCCTTTAACTGGATCAACAGTGAAGATCATAGTTTATGAAATATGAATTGCGAATGATAATTCACACTTCTACCACCATAGTATCATCTGCCTGCACTTTCTGATTCATATAGTTAACCAGGAAGTTATTTGCTCATCATTTTACAATAAGAAGCTTTAGAAAAATATTTAAATCCATAGTCCTTTTATAATGAAAATAATTCCAATATATAACATGTTTCTAACATCTAAACAACATTCTACTGGAAATATCATTTCATTAGTTTATATTTCCCAGTAGAATTGTTTCAGGATTTGATAGAACATAAGCTGACCTGTGGTGATGGAAACTAAATGAAATCAAATAGAAAGTAAACCCAGTGATATTTCAATAGCTTTGTGACAAGTTGCTCCTAATTCTATTGTGTTGGAAAAATATATGGAAAAAAGATGAAGAGAAAAGGGAAGAGCAGAATAGTAGAAGGCTAAGAGGATGAATTATTATCATAATTTATAGAGACATTATTAAGTATCTGTTATTTTACACTTTCCCATTTTATCATCTTTCCTTCCTTCATTCCCACATCTGCTGTTGCCTACTTTAGTCAAGGTCACATGAACTTTAAGAGCCATCAATTTTTCTGCTAGAATACATTTATGGGTTAATATAAATTTTAGCAAAAATTCAAAGCTAAACTAATCACAATAGTCACTAAAAGCAGCAGAGGAACATTATCACGTCCAGAAAAATAGCCTGTAAAAATGTTTTATGTGTCAGTCATATGAAAAGAGAAAATTTCATGAAGCCATCGGAATACTTAAAATTGTCCAGATATTTTACATTATGCAGAAAAAAAGATCAAAGTAGCTCTAAGGAATAGTGAACACAATGTAGTTATTTAAAGCTATTTATTTGAATAGCAGTTAGTTAATATCCTAATTAAAGTAAATACAATTTTAGATTTTCTAAACTGATGACAGTGGCAGCATAAAAGAAAAATGCAATAAATATGATTTGGATTTCTCATGAAAGGCCATCAAACAAGAGGGAAAAGCTATTGGCAAACTTGACTGATATTTTCACTTCCCCTTTCTAGTCTTTCTTCATTTCCCTTTCTCCTCTCCTATGAACTCTCCAGATATGTTGAAGAATGAAAACCCAACAAAGGAGAAAAGGGAGAAAGATGCAGAGTTTTAAACACTTCTGATAATGTCTACATAATAAATTTAATAACTGATAATTCAACGTATTCACTTGAATTTTTCTGGCATTTTCATACAATTGAAACACAATAAAAACAGTTTTTTTAGTTATAGAAACAAATGTTTTGTTACAGAGAAATAAAAACATTTATTTTCTGCAGATGGAAATCAATCCCCTCTTTGGGATGGACATATCTGCTTTCCATTTCTCTCGTGTTTGATGAAGAAGGTTCAATTATTAGGGGGAAAGGAGGTGGCATTTCCCCACCAGAGGCCTGCAGCATGCTTCTGAGATGGCCAGAGGTCATGGGCTCATGGCCCTATGAATAATACATACTGGATGCAAAGGAAGTGGCAACCTGTTACAAGTTCTTTCAAGATTCAAAAATAAAAATTTTCTCTCTGAAGAAGGCTTCCTTATCTGTAGGAAAAAGAAGTAAATCATCCATGCAACAGAACAGAACCATACATGAGGAAATAGTCTGAGACTAAATGAACAGAATCTGAAATAAATGGACACACACACACACACAAACACACACTCATGCATGTACATGCAGCAGCACAAACAAAATAAAACAATAGCATAATCACCTTTAGAAAAGTAGTGATAAAGTCACCGAGAGCTACAACAGAGACAATATGCTTGTTCCACAAACATGCAAATATTTAAATATGGCTAATATAGAAAATTTGGAAGCAGGATTCAAAATTGTGTGGGAATATTGCAGTTGTGTTGCTATTTGTAATTATTCACACTAATATTTATACTTTTGCTAAAGTAATATTAACTTGAATGTCACCTACAAATATCCACAACCACTCCATTAAAGAAAACATTGCTTAAAAACATTTGTAAAGAGTATTTGTACACAGGGAAAGGCAGATAAGGAGCATGTAGGTTAAAATCACTTGGATTTATAGTTAGAAAGGTACACTAATTATTTTATCTAAGTCTTGCATTTGTTACAGACAGAAATGAACTGGGGGTCAGAAAGCCAGCATCATTCCATTTTTGCCACTGAGCAGGTCATTAGAGCCATCAATGACAGATCACATCCCCACTCCATTTATCCCTGAGGGAGACTGCTATCAAAAGAGGTTTATTTTTCAAGTTCAGTGTTCATACTATTACAGAAGTCATGACTGAATCTTCATTAATGCAAAGTTGCCAAAGATAGTAGGATGCACATGCTCAATTTTCATTGTCTAATGTCGCTGATTATATTCACAATACTGAACGCTACAGTTGAATTTTAAAAAGCATATCAAGTTCCCCAAAATTTACTGTTCTACTAGAATAGAATTCTACTAATATTTAACTTGAACCCATACAAAGGAATATAACTTTGTTCTAAGCAGAGCATGGTTAACTGTACCTCACCACTGACGTAAACTGCATCATATGCCTATGCAGAGATGCACAATTGTGTTCAAATATAGTACTATATAAAACTAAGTTTAATTTTCCCACCACATAAAGTAAACACTGTTGTTAGTCTGATAAAGAAATCTCATTCAGAGATTATTGGACTAAGTATCATTTAGAAAATGTCTATGTCACTATATTCAGAATTAGCTAAAACGTGGCTAAACACATAATTCTTCATAATATCCAAACAGCCTTATCTTGATATTCTTAATTTCCTTATTTCCCTGAATATTAATCAATTTAATCTATTGGTTTTAAATATATACTGGAATCAATAAGTACATTATTTTTGCGGAGGGGCTTATAGATTACTTTGCCGTAAAACCTGTTAAGTTTCCAATTTTCAAGCTGCAGCATTTTTTAATGACTGGTGATACTTAATTGATTTGACATGTAAATGTCTTAATTTCATTAACATCAAAGTGACAGGCATCACTGATGTCAATTATCCTGCTAATATATTTTTAGAGAGATCATTTTTATTTCATTTCTTAAATCTAAGAAGTATTTATTTGAAAATCTGAAGCTATAAACAAAAGGAACTAAAATATACAATTTTATTAGATGAGGATATTTTAGAAATATTACTATAAATACATTATTTAATTGCATGCATTAATATTTAAATATACTTAGTCTTCTTCCTGATGTATTACTTCACAGCAAGAAAACTACAATTTATTTTTAAATAGCTTTCCCTTCCAAATAACATGCAAGCACTTCTCTCCAAGAAGTGAAAAGTGTATCTGTTATTTTTGAGGTCATAAGGATACTTTGTATAAAGCATTAGTAATGTCACTCAAAAAAGCCATGACCAGCTCTAAGAGGAGGATCCCTGGGCCAAGACAAACTAAGCTTTAGATGACTTGTGACACTAAACAGTATTTAACTCATCTGCCTCGTCTGTTACACATATTAATCTAATATTACAACATGAACATTTGGGATTTAATTTCTCTTGGAACTTTATTTGTCAGTTTATTTAGCTACTGCACTCTATCAAATACCTAAGCTAGACTCTGTCAAAATGAAATATTGTCATGGAATATATTTATATCATCTACATCTAGATCTAGAGAGAGCATATATATAAATACTAAAAAATGAAATGATTTCTTGAGATTGATTATATCAGTGAATATGATTCATAGAAAATTAGTGATTATTGGCTAGTTAGCTGAGTACAACTAAGGCACTCAGTTAATTTTAGAAAGCATAACTACACAGAGAAAAAAAATAAAGATTATTTATTCTTGTGTGCTAGAGCACAGCACCTTCTGGCTGGGCCTTCATATCTGAGTTATAAGAATTAATGAAGATTGTTTTATATACCAATAGTATTGTTCTAAGACATATATACATAAGCTGTCTATACAATTTGGAAAGTTTTGCCTCATCAGAATTAACAGAAAGTGAATTTTAAATATTTTGAGTATCGTTAAATATAATCATACTTTGGAGTCAGTGCATGTACCGTGTATTTTTTAAAAATATTTTGAAAACAAAATGTATGACAAATGTAAAAAGGATCCTGAATACTTTGAACAGTATAATAAAATTTATTGACTTCATAATTTCAATTTTAAGAACACATAGTTAAATGGCTGCCAGGCAAGTACCATTGTCTCCAAATAATCATTGGATCAATTAAATTTTGTAAAACACATGATATTTATAAGGCAGTGAAATCTAGGAAAGTCTTCCTTTTATTAAAATAGGCTATTAAAATTCTATTTTGAGTAACATAAATTTTAAAATAATGCCTGAGAGTTTTAGAAAGTAATTAAACCTTGAAGAAAAGAAGGGAACAAGAGCAATGAACCAGAAATGCATTGTGTTGGGAACACACTTCTGTGCATTACCTGGAACTCAATGGTGCTTCTGAACCACTAACTTCAAATATACTGAAAACCCCAAACAAATCCTGGACATGGTAAATCTCATTAATTTTAAAACACAAGGAGATTGAAATAAATGGACTTTGAATTAACTCAGTCCAAATTACCTAATATTAAAACGTAATTGGAATTTTCTTGCTAAGCTACAGTGCACAGGAAATTGCTATGCCTTTCACTACAATTTTATCTATATTTAAAGTTTAAGGATAATGTGTTTATAAAGAATGATTCTGAGAATAAGAAAATAAGGAAATTTCACTTATGTTTCTATATGTTTTTATAAAATTAAGGGAGCTTTCATCAAATTTCAGTTTTTTAAGTGAAAATTTTACTTTGAATTGATTAAATGTTATTTTTATTTCAAACACAAATATGAGCCAATAATTATATAAGATATTAAATTATTTTTAGTAAAATCATTATTTTCGTATTTCTAAGTATTATACTGCCATCATTTCCATAGTGACAAAGTGAAATATACTGTTGATATTGGCATAAGAATAAGAATAAAAATGTGTGAAGAAATGTGGTGCCAAGTAATGAGAAAGATGTTTTATTAAAATGAGACTACATTTTTCCAAAACAAGAAAATTATGTTGAAAAATCTGCCCCTTTAGGAAACAATTATTTTCAAATCTAGGTAATGAGTACTCATTGTGTGAAAAATTATTGTTATTTTTGTGTATTATTTGCTCTGGTCTTTATAATGTTACATTGTATGTAAGATCTAACTATCTTAGCACAACATTTCAACATGACCTCAATATTAATATCCCAACTTTAAGTAAAAAATTGATAGACCCAGGATAAACGATCATGCATTCTGTGGACCTCCAAATTAAATTTCCAGAAAGCTACGAAGAAAGATAACATAGAAAGGAAGCCAATCCATGGTGAAAACCTGTAGCATACACATAAAGATGTAAATATTTATACCTGAGAAGAAATGTGCTTTGAAGCCCTTCTTTGATACAGTGTTATCAGACCTGAATTCAATTCTCATGTTGTTGAACTGAGATGTGATCACTTCAGGGACTTCAGCACCACAGAATTTGCCATGCAATTTAGACTCAGAGGAAAGACCACTCCAGATCTCCACATAATCATATTTGCAAACCTGGAGAAAAAACATGATTATCAGCATCACCAGATTGGGGAGTACGAGATGACTGACATTTATTTTTCAAAATTTTATCATGCTTTTACCTCTTTACTACCATGGTCGTCAAACTGCAATTAATAGAAACAAATCAAGAAGCGGTTGTCCTTTGACCCAGAAAGCTTCCTTAGAGAATTTTATTGTATCACCTAGACTTGTGCTCACAAATGTATGCTTGTTTGTATATATTAACATCATATATCTTTTCCAGAAAATACAAAATGATAAGGATAATTGAGATGGATAGTTTTTCAGATGATGGTGTTCATGAGAAGAAGAGCAGCAATAGCCATCCTTTTTAAAATATATTTTTGGTGTTTTAAATTTTAGAAGGAACTGTTAAAGAACTTCTTATATACTGTTTTAATACTTACAATAAATACCTGAAATCACCATATTTAGTCCATGATACAATCACTAGCAATAAAAATAATCATTTTCATTATATAGATGAGAAAACCAAGGTTCATAAATTTTTATATAACTTATTCGAAATAATATCTTACAAGCAGTGTGGTGACTAACTGCATAGTTTGGCTTCCCTCATTGCTGCATCCCAGAAATGGCATTTTTATTGGAATAACATTATTAATAACTTTCAAAGAGAAAGACAGATACTTGGTATATGATAGAAAGATCATTGGCTTTTTATTAAAATGTCTGACATAAATTCCTTTGTGTTGTTGAGTACAGTGAAGTCACTCTGTAGGATTGCTTCAGGACAGCAAATAAGAGCTCTCTTCAGTGGAATGAAGGCAGGGATTTACAGTGAGGGATTCACAATGATAATATAAGGAGGCCGACTCATCTGATTTATAGGCACTGCACTAACACCATCAAATTGGAAGGAACTCAGTGAATATTAAGTATTCTTAAGCAATTCTGAGGCCACTAACAGATGTTTCCATAATACATGTTTCTTGAGTTCCAATACAGCACAGTCTAAAGAACACATCCTGCATGGATGACCTTATTATGTAAATATGTAATTAGCAAAGCTCAACAACGAATATGATTGAACCCTGGGGCATGATCTGTACTTTGAAATATGTCAACTCAAATTAGTATTTCTTGTGATAGTAATTCGATGTTAAATAAACAAAATGTCGCTAGGAAAAATGAAATAAGTGTTTTACCTACTTTGTTGCAAGTATGATTTTTTGTTTAGCTAGTGTAGTATGGGAATGTTTCCAAGGCTAATGTTCTTTCCTATTGATTTTCCCCTTGGGGTATCAATATAAAGAATAAAATAATGAAGCCTTAAACTTAATCTAGTATTCTACAAGACAAGTATTTTCACAGGCCTTTTATTGTGAGCAGATCAATTATCAAAATATAAAAATACACAGAATTCTGTAATGGTTTTTCACACGGAGAAACCATTATAAATTAAATAATGGATATGTAAACCAAATTTTTAAAAAGCACTTCTATGAATGATGACCATTACTATGAGAATAATGACTTCATTACACAGATCCTATTTATATAAAACTATCCACCATTCTTCCTCCTGAACACAAATCTCCAGTCTTATAAATATGCATCAATTAATAAATAAATTAATACATATCTCACCTGCTACAACTAAGAGAAAACTGTGTGAATAGCATCCATTCAACACTCAGTTCTTATCAAGTCACAGGATGGGTAGAGATATCCCATTTTCAAAAAGGGTAGCTCAGATAAAAGCTTTTCTAAAAATATTATAAAATTTACTCTCTTCATTTCAACATTTCCCCACATTTGAGGCAGTTGTTTAAAAAATAATGTTCTATGTGTATCAAACTGCATCTTTCCCATCATAAAGTTTACATATGGTGTTAAAAATACCCTCAAAAGGCCTATTGAGTTTTCAGGTTCTACAATTATCTGAAACACATAAATTCATCTCATTTTTTATTTTAATTTCCTTGAAGGGGACAAAAAGTCAGGTACTGTGTTTACCTCAAGCCATAGTAAGAGATTTTAAAATGCACAACAGGGAGAGAGATCTTTTGCAAAAGGGAAGGAGACCCAGAGATGGAGGGAGAGTAGGGGAAGGGGATGAGAAAAATAATTGACATGTTTTTTGTACATGTACCTGCTTCCCATGATGACTGTAATCACAGTGTAATGCAAACATATAGTAATAAAAAGTGCTTCATCTATTAAAAGCAAAATTAAGGAAAATAAAAGTCATCAAAGAAAAAAATGAAAAGGATTAGATATTAAAAAAGGGGCAAAGATAGATACCTAAAAGCAAAATTATGTGTAAACCTCACAAATAATTCCAGTATTTATTGTCCCAGGAGAATTGACAAGTTACATTTCTGTTCTCAGACTTTACAGGTTTCAACAGATATATATCAGAGGCAAAATAATTTTAAGAGTTAATTTTAGAGTGAAATCATGTTCATATCTAAATAAAAACAAAAAAGTTTGAAGAAAGGATGTAGAAACACAAAGAAAAATTTGAAAGATCAAAGCAAACAAATGTTTATAACTTTTTCTTTCTGAAATTAAACTAGTGTTGACCAATCACGCAAAGAATATTTTTCTAAAAGTTCTCATTCTTGGCTTGACATTTTATTTGTATTTGGTGTGCACATAGGAATTTTCAAATAAATTGCTGCACTGTTTTATTGTGGTCACCTGATAGAAAATTATACCTTCAATGCAGTAAGCTATATCTGTAAAGCTAAAGGTAGCTTCAACTACACATGTATTTTACTGACTAAAAAACTAATCTTTTTTTATTTATGAACCATGAGCAGAATCTATATTGAAGAAAATGTATATAATTAAAATTTCCACATTATCACAAATATATCATCTTCTTTGGTGGATATCTTCATTACTACTCAATCAGTGGATTTTAGTTTATTTTCCTAGAACACATTATGTAACAAGAAGCTGACCCTAAATATTCTGTTGTTTTTAGTAAATTAGAAAATTTGTTAATATATAGTGCATTTGAATACATGGAATAAAAACTGCCTCTGGATAATTTTCAATCTCCAAGAAACAGTTTAAAATATCATCAAATGATAAAGAGAATCATTAGTTGCAGATATTAATGGTAGAGCAGAGAAAGACTAAAATATTCATATAACTATAGTACATTCTTTCTTTTCCTTATGTTTGTCTGTCTGCTTTCAGAGATTCTCAAAACGTGATTTAAAAATTTTCTATTTATTGTGCACTTACTTCATTGCCTTCCAATTCAAAAACTTCAAACTTCATGGAAATTCTGTACTGAGTTGGTGCAACCACTTGCCACATGCAGTTTTTATTAGGAGGGTACTCTTTAGGCCAGCCGGGGGTGGTGATGGTGCCATTCAGCTTGGTAAGAAGCCCACCGCAGGCAGCTAGAAGGAAACAAAGGGAAAATAACCGCGGCCCATTCTGAGACCTTTGCATTCATACCCAAACATACTGGCCCTGAATTTGAATCAACTGCATTCTGGATTTTAAAGTATAGAAAGGGCAATCTCTCTTTCTCAGCTTTTAGGACAACTATTTTAATTATCAAATCCCATTTTAAAACTGTTATTTTGTTGCTTTGGAAAAAAGCAAATTATTCTGAACTACATTTTAAATCACTTTATAGTTGTGGGAGCACTGTAATATTGGATCTCCTCTCCCTTGTCTTTTAAATGGGTACAATAATATCTTACAATGCTAGTGATGTCTTGTCTACTACCAAATTAAGAAAAAATTGTGAAAATGGATAGAGCCATTCTGGGAATTAAGGGAATAGATGGATGGATGGATGATAGATAGATAGATAGATAGATAGATAGATAGATAGACAGATAGATAGATAGATAGATGATAGATAGATACATGGGTCACAAGATAGTCTTACACAATCAGACCAAAATCATTGGTTTAGTTCCTCAAATTTTTTCTCCAAGACAAATAAAGCTTTTGTACTGGTTAGTAGGCAATATAAATTATGGTAAAGACAACATATTTATTCAAAAAATGCTAACATCTTGTTTTCTTAACCATTCAATTATCTATTTTATTTGGTTTTTTGTTTTTGTTTTTGTTATTTTAGTACTGGGGATCGAACTTGGTACCTTGCACTTGAGAGGCAGGAGAAAGAACCACTGAGCTAAATCCCCAGCCCTCAATTATCTACTTTAAAAAGGTACTATTTACACTTCCTTTTTTCTTTATTCATACTGAAATCAACAAAATCACAATATCTAAAAGCAAGTTGAATGAAAAGAATATATCTCATACACAGTTGATAACTAATTCCTACCAGGAAACTCAAGTTATCTAAAATAACTTGCTTCTTTGTTTGCCTTTGTGTATAATTTCTATACCTTATCATACTATATAAATATGCAAAATATTACCTATGCACTTACTTTCAATGCCTTTTTGATAAATTATTATGAAGTAAAATATTTCTAGAAGGTACAAATAAGTGAGTCATGTCAATTTGCAATCATCTCCTATAAAAATACTACATTTTCTTAGTAATTATGCTTTTAAAAATTCTAATAGAGGGAGAATGTTAGTAGTTTGTTGGCCAAAATGAAGATTTTTGAGAGCCAAACAGGAACTTTCAAAGTTTTCAGAAGAAACAGGGAGACTATAATTTTTTTAAGTAGGTCAGCAAAGGTGTGGCATTTATTCATTAAGCCAATACTTTTCCTACCTTTGCTCCTCAGATTTTCTGTTACAGACACAATAGAGAAGAACATGCTCACTTTCCAGAGATTTATATTTCAGTAGGAAAAAGCAAAAATAAATTAATATATAAATAATACTAATTTACTACAAGTCCTGTGAAGATGAATTTGTGAGAAACTTAAAAAGAAGAATAAAGGAGGAATAGAAGGAAAGCCATTTTTTTCTGCCTGTAATTCTGGGTATGGAGTCTGTAATAGGATAGAGAAGGGGAACACAACAAAGTCAGCTTTAAATTTTGAGAGAAGAGATTACAGACCATGGTAACACAACTCTGTACAAGAAATCTCATGTTCAAATATAAAGAGGAAATGTAGATAACCATGACAAAAATGTCTTTTAATCAATCATTTGTTCATAAAACACTTATTTGGCTTTGTGCTAAATGCTTTATGTTTGTGCTAGATGATAAAAATACAAAGATAATGTAGACTAGGGCTTTCCATTTTAATTAGAGAGACATACTCATAGACAATGTTAAGCAAAAGACAAAAGAAATGAGAAGACAAATACAGAGATGGATGGATGGATAGATGGATGGATGGATGGATGGATGGATGGATGCGCTCATGAATGCCTACATACATGTATACATAGAAGGAGAAGGAATGGATAGGGGGGAGGGATGGAAGGATGAAGGGCTGGATGGAGGATGGATATACATGGTGACCTGGTGCTCAAAGAGGAAAAAGACTAACTCTATAACAAGAATCCAGGGAAGGTTTCTCAACAGTTGTGACTATGAAGACTATGAATTTTGTCTCACTAGTTGAGGATCAAGATCAAGCTCATTATAGGGGGAGAGAGGGAGGGAGGGAGAGAGAGAACAGAATAGAGGAGGGGCAGCCACATGAGCCCAGGGCTACCTTCGCAGCCCCTTCTGTCTGGCCCCAGCTCATAACCAGGTTCGCAGGCACACTGGTAGCTGCCCAGGGTGTTCAGACACCGCTGCTCACAGCCTCCTCGGTCTGGCTTGGCACATTCATCTTCCTCTGTAAAAAGAGTGATAATTATAGAACAACTAGAGTATGATGTCTTTATATATTAAAGTCGACAACTTTTTGAAAATATAAGCCTTAACAGCTTGGAATAAAACAATATGATTCGTTTCTTCAACAAAGAAGCAGGGACAATGTGTAAGCCCTTGGTGGATGACATACGAGAATTCATGTTACTGCAACATAAAAATTTTGGAAGAACCAAGAGAAAGACTACTAAGATAGAGCCACACGAACTAAAAATCATCTTGTCTCAGATTGTTTTTTCTTCTTCTGAATTTGAGATCAAATAGAGATCGTTAAAACCTAGAGATTTGTCAGAATGAAAAATTTTAAATATCCTTACTATAAAAACATAGCTGCACCTATTCATTTCATGGTACAGTTTGTTAGATGTATCTCAAAAAAAATGGTTTTAGGGGCTGGGAATGTAGATCTGTGGTAGAGTACATAGTTAGAATGCATGCGGCTGTGGGTTCAATCCCCAGTACTTCAAGGAAAAATGCTTTGAAAGAAAAATCACAATTAAGAAATAGATCATGGAGAATAAAAATTAAAAAATAAAACTCAATCGCTTCTTGACCTTTTGGCTAAGATCAAGTGTAAAAAATAAAGCTCAAGAATTGACTTGATTTCTTTCAATTTAAAACATTCAGTGTTTCTTATATAGACATTTTGACTCAGAATATCTAACAATCCAGTATTTTTACAAATGTCTACACATTTAATTGTATGTAAAAATATGAAAATACATAATATTTTAAAAAATGAGTATGACAGGGCATTCCATTATCTCAGTTTTTCAGAAACAGCATAATGTGAATTAGGTAAATACTAAATATACTATGGAAAAATTATGCATCAACAGAACACCAAGCATTTTGATAGTGAAATATATAAATATCACATGAAAATAGTTTGATCATATGTGTCTTTTACTATTAATGCACACAGATGATTTCCAGGGTGTTAGTATATATCTTAATGAATTCATATAGTTAAAGTGTCAAATTTCCTGTCTTTCAATTCTTATGAATTCATAGGGGAAATTCATTATACTTTTCTTAAAATAATGAATATATTTTGAATCACTCATTAAATTTTGATATACTCAAATTTATCATTTGTCCTATAAAACTCAGTGTGGAGTAAATTTTGTTTTCTGTTGCCAAAGGAAAATTTTATTCAACAGTGATACACTTAAAATAAGTATTTATGTATTTCCTAATGTATGTTTAATGTTATAATTTGTAGTACAATAGCTTTTTTTTATCTTCGTAATTCACACAAAATATCGGACATGAATAAATGAAAACATAGGTAATTCAAAATGAAACTGATCAGCAAATAATTCCTTACAAAAAGATATTTTAGCTAACAGAACACTCTGCTGAAAGGTCTATAGTTGCTTCTAATGTTGAGGAACACTATTCTTTAATAGTTTTTTTAAAAATTGTGGTACCTGAAAATAAATTGACCAACTCCATGTCAGTAAAACCCTTTCCAGTTATGAATTCTTTGCTGGTTATATGTATGTATTACAAATATTGTCTTTCTATATCTATATAGCTTTATAGATTTTACTATTTTCGACTATTTCTTAAAACATAAATGGTAGGGTACCCTAATACTGTTCCTGTCCCATGCTACAAGGTTACAAACTAATACTTCACTAACATTTCCCATCAAGACTCATCAAAATATCCTCATCAACTGTGTTTACTTCAATTTTCCATACAATTTTAATCCTATTTCCCTCCCACTCACTAAATACCACATTTGTCCCTGCCTGAGAATGGAAATCTCACATTTGCAAATCACTGTGAAATACCTTTAAAAAAGTTAGCAGCAAACCCAGCTTTGTTGACAGTTCCATCAGAAACAAATTTCATCCACAAGGTATTGGAGGTGGATCTTATGTCTTCAGGTTTATCATAACCACAGAAACGCCCAATCAAGGGGCTATTTTCACTGGTCCCATCTCGAATTTCTAAGTGGTCATAGGCACAGTTGTCATGTCTTTCAATCTACAACAATAAAATTATGATGTATTCCATAAATAGACAAAACAATTTATATGGGAAGATTATGCATTCTCAGTGCTATAGTACTGACTTGTTAACATAAAATTTACTTATATCAAATGAGTACACAAGAGAATTTCCCATGAGTGTATATGGTAATAACCTACACTCAAGGGATATCTACATGAAAAAGGACATTTTGAATTTAAAAAAAAGTCTGTGGAATTGTGTGTCCATGTGGGTCAGGACCAGCAGAAGTTAACTGGTTTTTAAAAGAAAATTAAAGTACAAATAATGATTCTTTAAAAAGAAGTGAAAAAGATAGACAATTATCATCAAAAATCTGGGCCAGATATACATCAAGCAATATATAACTTATTCTTAAACTAAGAAAAATTGTTTATAGTTTATCAACAAGATCATCATTTTATTCATAGAGAAACTGGATATAAATATTTTTGACCAGTATATCATTGTTAGGTTATAGATCTAACTTTTAAAGGAAAATCTGATAGTATGGGGTGACATTTCTTTCTAGTCTATAAAAATTTTTATCCATGATTAGCACAGCTGAATATAGAAAGACTATAATATTACAGTCAGCTTTGGCAATTTTTTGTTGTTGTTCTCAAGGTAAGTTGCCCTTGGTTTGGATGACTTCTTTTACCTTTACACACTCCTCTTGATCCCTGTTATCTGAAGGAGCTCAAAATCTGTCCTTAATGACTAAATGCAAGCCAGGTGCAGTGGTGCATGCCTGTAATCTCAGCCCTGAAGGAGGCTGAGGCAGGAAGATCACAAATTTGAATCCTGCCTGAGATATTTAGCAAGACATTATTACAAAATAATAAAAAGTTTTTTAAAATCTGAGGATAGAGCTCAGGGATATGGTAGCTCTGGGTATGATCCCCAGTACAAAAAAAAAGTTGCATGCAAATATTAGGGCAGACCATTAGCCCATGCACTTTATGGAGAACTGTTCATGCACTGATGTTTTACCCTGAATGTCTAAAACCAACAGACAAGAATGGCTATATAAATTGTACAAGACAAATTCTGAACAAAACTCTTGCTTTTAATGTTTTCACAGAAGTTGTACATTATCTGTGAAATCTTAATAGAGTCAACTGCTTATAAAGTGTTTGAAAATGGAAAGGGCAGACATCTACAATTTTAAAACCATAAAAGTTATTACAGCTTGTCAACTATTGTTCAACATACAATTTATTAATTTATATAATTCTCCCATTACAAAATTGACATCTGAAAATTTATTTATTTCATGGAGTTGCAACCTGAACGAATGAAATTGATGTATATTTGAAAATTCTCTCTGTTGATATTGCTATGTTATGAGAGATACTCTTCAAATAAGGTAGCATAGTAGTGTGATAAAAACAGCATGGTACTGGCAAAGAAACAGACCCAAAGATCAGTGGAATAGATTAGAAGATGCAGAAACAACTCCAGACATACTCAGCCACCTCATCTTTGACAAAGGAGCCAATCGCCCTCATTGGAGAAAGGATAGCCTGTTCAATAAATGGTGTTGGAAAAACTGGATTTCAACCTGCCAAAGATTAAAACTAGACCCATCACCGTCCACTAAACTAAGATCGAAGTGGATTAAAGAGCTAAATATCAAGACAGAAACAGTAAACTTGCTGGAAGATAAGTTAGGTAGAACTCTCAATGACATTGGGATAGGAAAAGACTTTATGAACAAAACTTCAGTAGCACGGGAACTAGCATAAAAAATCAACAACTGGGAATTCATCATATTAAAAAGCTTCTGCCCTGCAAGAGAAACTACCAACAGAGCTAAGAGACAACGTACAATAAGGGAAGAAATTTTTTTCAGCTGTTCCTCAGACAAAGGTCTACTATCTAGAATATATAAAGAATTGAAAAAAATAAGAACCCCAAATTCAAAGACTCAATTCAAAAATGGGCATCTGAAATGAACAGACATTTCTCAGACAAAGAAGTAAAAGCAGCAAATAAATATATGAAAAAATGTTCAACATCACTGGTCATTCGAGAGATGCAGATGAAAACAACATTGAGATTCCACCTCACCCCACAAAGAATGGCTATCAAGAAATCAACCAATAACAAATGCTGGCGGGGGTGTGGAGAGAAAGGAACCCTTCTCCATTGTTGGTGGGAGTGCAGACTGGTGCAATCACTGTGGAAATCCGTATGGAGATACCTCAAAGAACTAGGACTAGAGGTCCCATTTGACCCAGCTACTCCCCTACTGGGTATCTTCCCCAAGAATTAAAAGAATCATACCACAGTGATATATGTGCACCTATGTTTATAGCAGCACAATTTGTAATAGCTAGGGATTGGAAACAGCCCAAGTGCCCATCAAGTGGAAACTGGATAAAAGATGTGGTTTTTTTTTTTTTTTGTAAAATGGAGTACTACTCAGCCATAAAGAATGAGAAACTAAGAGACATTTATAGCTAAATGGATGCATACTGAGGCCATACTCTTAAGTGAAATAAATAGGACACACATATATAAATACCAAATAGTTTCTCTAGGGTGAGAAACTGAAAGTGTAAATAAGGATGAAAATGATTAAAATGAATAATTGATACTTTGAAATAGGAAAAGGTCCAAAGGTGGAGGGGTGGCAGGAGGGGAAGGGGAAAGGGAAGAAAGGAAAGGAAAAATTATAAGAAAGAAAAAAAAATGGAAGCAAAATCTATGTAAATATGGAAGGGTGGTGGAGGTGAAGGGCATATAGGTAATGCGGAAAAAAATAAGAACTAAGATACATCATGTTCAGGTACAAACACCCAATGATAAATGTAAAAGTATTGTATACCTAAAATGTACCAATTAATATATAAATTAAAAAAACAAATAAGTTAGCATAAGGAGACACCCAAAATAATTTTTTCTGGGGCACAGATTTAGCTGTGAAAGTATTACATTTGCTGTTTCCTTTTCTCCAATCACAGAACTGAATTCATTCATTTTTTTAACAAACGTATTCAGTATTATTCTCAGCAAGATACGCTGCTCATTGTTCTCTATGTATCATTCAGAAAATAACACAGAACTTTGGGCTCCTGGAGTTTGCCTGCTTTTAGTGGGTAGACAGAAAAGGAAGAAATAAATAAGATAATTTGTTCAATCATAAATATTAGAAAGCAATAAATTCCAAGAAAGAAATATAAAGTGACACGAGGTAAGAAGCATGAGAAGATGGGATGGTGGGAGTGAAGGCTGCAATTTTAAATGAAACCATCAGGTCGAACTCATGCAGTATGATTTATAAATCCAGATTTTTTTTCTTAAGATAGAAATTAACACTGAACTACTGACAAAAATGTAGGGAAAATAGAGAAAAGTCTTGGCAAGCCAAACAAGCCTCGGCTGCTTCAAGCAGCACAGAATGAACTGCTCCTAATTCATGAATCCTACTGGGGGGTGTGGTAAGAGAAGAGGAAAAGAATCAAGACTCCACACTGAAAAAAATATCCTTGAGGTGGAAGGCCCACTAATAAAAATTAAATCGCATTGCTTCATAGTAAAAGTCACACTAGAATAAAAATTAACAAAATTAATTACAAAGATTTTTAATTACTGTTTTAAGAAGATGATTACTTTTTAAAAATGCAGTAATAACAAGAAAGGAAACAAGATGGGGGGATGGGGATTTAGCTCAGTGGTTCTGCCGCCTGCCTCGCAAGCACAAGGTCCCAAGTTTGATCCCCAGTACCAAAAAAGAAGAGAAAGAAACCAAGATGGACACTATTGAAAATAAAAATATTAGTATCTTCAGTGATTAAAAAGAAATAATTGATATTGCCCTGGCCATAACAGTCTTGTTGTTTAAGAAATAGACAATACGTAGAAAATGAACTGTGTCTCACATATGTGGATTTATAATATACATGGATATTATAAATGCTTACAATATTCAGAAATGCATTATCCCTTCACACCAAAATTTGCATACTTTATTAATGACCCAATGGGTGTGTTTATATATAGTGTAATCCTGTGTGTAATGTCTACCCCATTAATGTTAATTGTAATTATATTTCATCAACCATATCTACTTGGCGACAGTGACCATAGATACAAATGAAAGTGTGCTATTTGATTTATGTCATTTCTGCAGGATTTTCTAGAGCAATAGCAGATCATTTCATCAATTGTTACATGAAATACATAGAAATAAATATGGTGGAAATTAATAGGAAAATTAAAAGGAAAAGCAGTTTCTTCTTGAATTAATGCATGGACACAGTTCAGAGAGCTGGAAGCTGAATGTAATGTCATGCACAATTACACATGTAGCAAATACGTTTTGATAATAATTATGTTGATTTATTACAGACTTTATGGTAATCAAAGCATAAATTATATACTAATGTGGTGATTTTTATAATGTAAACAGACCTAATACATCCATAGACAATACAATGAAAATGATGGTAAGATCTGATCATTTTTAAGAACTGATATTTAAATGATACTGGTAGTAGATCCAAATACACAAAGAAGGAATAAGGAGAACAAAGACTAGCTAAAAGGGATTAGTGTTATATTTCATTCCTAAGAGGAGGCCCATAACATTACTAGACAGTTAAAGAGGAAACACGGTAAAGCTGATTTCTGTTTAACAAGAACTGAAGTAAATTAACTTTGACTGGAAGTGGTCAGCCTCTCATTCTAAAACTGCCAACCTGTACAGAGGTTTGTGATGAGTGTTTGCAAGTGAGTTCTAACACAGGTGGAAGCCAGTCCCAGAAGACAGGGCAAGTCCGGGCTGAGAGCCCATTCATAAATTCATGTACGAATATATGCGTATGTGTATAGTCACATTCAGAGCAGATGTTTCAAAATAGCCAAAAGAAGGAAACAGCCCAATTGTCCATTGCTATATGAACAGATAGACAAAGCATAGCACATGCATACAATGAAATATTAGTCAGCTCTAAAAAGGAATAACATTTTGATATATGCTACAAATACAA